AAAAAAAACATGTTATAAACATTGTATTATTAGATTCATTGTGATGTTGGCTTTCATTGAAGTTTCAATTGTTATACTACTTGATGTTTTGGAAACTTAAACAAGTATAGTAGTTCTAAATATTATGAAATGACAGAAACATTAGGCCAAACAAATTACTTGTGTTTCTACTATCAGAAAAAAATAGGGTAGGTATGTATTAGCTTGGCATTTTCTTGTTAATTTGAAATATATCTTTACTGCGCTAATATATAGAGCAGGAGTTCTGACTTTAACAGTGCATATAAAAACTTAAGGGTATTTTAGGAACACAAATCTGAGATAAGTCTGGTTAACCACACTGGTGTCGAACACACCAATAAGTATAGTGTGTAAAATATATCATAGTTTATACACATCATATTACTATTAGTGTGTCCAGTATCTGTGGGGTTAGCATAAACACAATATTTGTTTTAAACTTTTAATTGGCCTTATTTAATGATCATTAATAGGTCAGACAGGGTTCGGTTTCCAATTTGGAAACTAGACCTGTTAAAACAGTTATCATTTGTAATTTAGAGATTAAATATTTCTAAGCAGAAAAAAATGAAATATAAATATTTTTCAACCTTTTCTGAGTTGTACAATTTTAGAGTATCTTCTGTCTGAAATCTGAACATAACTTGTTTTATGACAAAATGTGTAAAACAATTCCTCATACTGGGGTAAAGTTTTTCTATATATAGTCCCAAAAACTACAGATAAAATCCTTGAGCACTTACAAGATACAAAAATATATATTTTACGTCCATTTTGCAAAACATACAACATAAGCTACAAAGAGCTTGTATTAAGACAAAACATGAGTATAATAACAGAGACCAAAATATTACAACATGGAAAAATAAAATAAAAACATGTATGTACATGTAGTATACTGTAAGCTCAGAAAAAGAGTTTATCACTTGGAAAGCACTTAATAGGCACATTGAACACGGTAAGCACATCAGCACATGGTAATTTAAGCACATTTAGAACATTTGCATACAGCACATAAAAAACAAAACCATAACATGGAAAGCTTATTAGCACATAGTAGGCACATTTGCACATTGTAAGCAAAATAAAGGAGTGCAATGGACATCTCCATGTTTCCTGGTTAATTTCTTCTTTATGGAAACAACCAGGGGAGAGTGATGTTCTGCTTCATCTTTTGTATTAATGAAAACCGTGAATATCTAAGTGCGTGTGTTTAAACTAATTTTGTTTTGTTTTTACTGGTACCTTTTTATGTACACATGTTTTACCACCTAAGGAATTAGATGTCCTAAGCCCCCGTGAGATGTGCCGTTATAAGTTGAATTTAATGTACATTTTGTTTATATTTAGTTCTGCTACCAAAGAGATTGACTTATTGAAATGTTTGTGAAACATTTTA